CAGGGTGCATCTGCAGTGTCTCCTGCTAAAACACTTTGAATAACAGGCCCACAACAAATTAATACCTTACAGATTGGACTAAATAACCCCACCAAGGGACGCATGCAGTTCATTTTTTGTCGCTTTCCTTTTTAATACTAACGTTCGTAACTGTAGACCTTCTCACACTCATGACTGTAGGTCTCCTTGGATCTGTAAACAGCATGGACGTAATAAAAGGGACATCCCTGGCTCCACCTTCTGAAAGCAGTGTGACATTACACGAGAATCAACAGCAATAATACGTTCAGTAATATAACAGAATTTTAACATTCCTGTATGAGGTGCGCCCAGCTCTGGTCTAATAGGGCCAGAATCTCGCAGTTTTTATAATAAATCCTAATTACCACCCAATTTGAAACTAAACACCAGATGTGGTGACTTACAATTCCAATAACTGCTCCAGTGAAGCAGCTGGGGCCTGAGACTCAGCCAAATCGCATGCTGTCACCAAGCAGGCAAGCTAAGGCACTTATCTGCTTGAACGTGACTAACCTGGTTTGCTGTGCAAGTGGTGGATGGAAAGAAAATGGGGATCAGCAGCCTAACTGATATCCAAACAGGCCCTCCCACGGTACCTCCTTAGAAGCTCTACTTAATTAATGACTCTGTTTGGTACTAATAATCCAATATTCTCCACAGACAATAATCGGTCATACAGAACAGGACAAAGGGACAAAGGCCTGTATTCACTACAGTATCTCTTGTTCATTCCCCCAATTTTCCCCTAATAGTGACACTTTTTCCTAAGCATTGTGGGACAGATTGTGGCTGATTTAAGTCAATTACCAGGGTGTTTGTGCTGCTCCGGTGAGGGATTTTCTCCAGGGGTTTAATGTGGTCTGGGCTGAGTGTGGAATTGTAAACACTGGTCCCATCAGTCATAGATAAATAGTTTAAGAACTTTATATGCAGAGGGTGTCAAAGCTCCTGAACCCCAAAGCCAACCTCATAAGCGTGGGTAGACGTTCTGAGTTCAGGTTGCTGAAAATCAAAACACCCGAAAGACTGGTAGCCTTTTTGGAGAAAGTCACTTCTGATAATTACTATAATTCCCCACAGTATTTTGACACAGCATTACCACAAGTGACCAGTAGGGGAGCTGAGGCACCCTCAGAGCCACTAATTCCTGCGCTAATACCAGCTCATATGATCAAGTAACGTCTGTTCACCTCTCTAGGAACAATTTTTGCTGGTTTTTTGTGTCTGCTGATATTCCTTTCTTTCACCTTTAAACATCCATTTTCATTATCTGTCATTTTTGCTTCAGGTACCACGCGTACCCCCCCCACGCACACATTGTTATCTCGTCCACGTCCAGCCCACCCTCTACGCAAGCACAAAAGTGGCCATAAAGTTATATGGCTTCCATTGTGTCCATTGTTCACTTCCAGACCACTTATAAATATTCAAGCGCATTACAATCCAGCACTCCATTATTATTTAATGGGCATTAAGGTTGCGGTGAATTTTTAAAGGGGGGTCAGGCTGACTTAGAATTCTGAGCAGTCATGGGAAGACCCCTTCCATCACAACCCTGTTATGGATTCACCTCTGCGGTGTCAACAAGCTGTTCCCAGCTCGCAGTGCTGCTGCTGCTTAGAATGCTCGACCTCATTTTTCCTGGACCAGCCTTAGATATATGCATTAGCTTTTCTCCTTCTCTCTCCTCGCTTACCGGCTGGTGGCGTCGACAGAATTCAGATGAGACTGATCCTTGAGGTGTAGACAGGCTCGGTTTGATAGATTCCAGGATGTCTTGCCTATCCCTGTTCATATCGGAAATGGCAGCTCTTTTCACTGACAGTACAGTATTTTTTGACGGTGACTGCCATTCATCGAAAAATAACTTGTAGAATGCCTCCCCTCTTCCTCTCATTTTGTCTTTTACAGTAATACCTTACTACCAGTCTGAAGAATTAGAAATTGACACGTAATTCATGTAACGCACCGGGTTTGTATGGTTTTATAGAATCCCTTCTTTTACTATACATCCATATAAGTCTTATGTGTATGAAAACTTATCCCACAATGAACAAGTATGTTCATTCTTAATTATTGTGACTCCTAGTCATGGAAAAGGTTGTCCGTCACAATCATAGAGTAGAGCACAGGAGCAGAGGCCAAAACACACACACACACACACACACACACGTTTGTATTTATATTGCAGTACCGGCGGGGATTAGCATATCCCAACATGCTCAAGGGCAACTGTAAATAGCCCCTTGTTATTAGTTACTACACAGCCCACTGTGTTGTCATTAATACTTGTAGTATTTCATATTGTTGCATGCGTGTCTGCCTGTGTCATATATAAGCCACGCGCACACACACACACACACACACACAGACTGGCACACATGCACATGCAATGCAATCACTCCTCTAGGTTGATTGTGTTGCATTCAGGGCTTTATTTGAATTCATATATCAAGTAATCACAAGAACACTTATGAATGATACATCTTCAGGGTTTCTTTTTCTGTGTGAAAAACAGCAGCGTGTATGAGGCAAAAATCTGCAGAAACACATGACTGGGATCTGTTGTGTCACCTTACTGTGAGACCCAGAATAAAACGATACCTGGCTGCCAAATAACTCTACCTTTTGTCTCGGTTCAGCAGAAATCAGTGCTTTATTTATTTAATTATACTTAAAGTTAAACTATTGTGTCCATAAGAGGGGTGAATGCAGAAGGTTCTGGGGCAGTTCAGCAGAGGCCTTGTTTAATGATATTGATTGAAGGCCACAGAGCTAGAATTGAAGCCGGCTTTCTGCTCACACTGATTCTATAAGTCTATTGTTGCATCTCTGCCCTCTAGACCCCATATTCCTGATCACTGTTGTACGTTTTTGCTATGAGACTTCAGTCTAAATGAGAGCTTCTCTATACGAGGTTCATCGACTGCCTCTGGGCTTCACGGAGCTTATGAGGCTATAACGCATCAGCCAATGGCTGCTGAGGCATATCAGATCAAAGTCAAACGTGGCTTTCGAGAAGGAATATGCAAAACCTCAAACTGAGACTTAGGGGGAAATGAAAAACGCTTCAAAACACCGTTGTAACATCCTGTCAGGATGGGTCAATGATTATTACACCCTATAATTTATTAGGAATCCTTGGAGTCTGAAACTGTAATGGGTTTGCAGAGAACCATAGCTCATCCTGCTGCGTAACTCTTTATTTTGGCCTCCTGGGTCTTTATTGACATCAGAATCGCTGATCATGTACAGCAGATCCCGCACGCCTGTTCCGTCGGCTTCTGGAAACCGCTGGGAGTCCGCTTGTGCTCAGTCACCCGGAAGCACGGGATACCATATATTGCGGAGCACAGCCACGGCACAGGAGAGCCGGCGGCAGTGGGCGGGGCCATCGTAATCACGGGCCGTCGGAACATAGGACCCCCCTTTGCTGGGTGATCATGCTCTCGCGTAGTGATGCTCTCAGACGGGTGGCTGTGCGAGTCTCAGGGGCCTCTCCTTCCTGCAGCCAAGACTGGCCTGCTTGCCACATTCGGGGTGGATAGAGATTCTCCATATGGTTTGATAGTGAGAACAAACACACTCATACCAAGAACAAGGGCACAAGCTCTCTGCTACAATCCCTTTATTAAACCCACTCATGTGTACAAAAAAATACAGCTTGAAAGACTTGACTCTCATTGTTGCTTTGCCTCTGACTTACAGTATATAAAATTATTTACTGAATTAACTTCACTTCCTCTGAAATTAGACTGTAGGTCATTTATTTTGTATATTCTTTTAAAAACAGCTTAATGAGCATGTGAGAATGTGCATTTATTATTATTATTATTATTATTATTATTATAATTATTATTATATTTTAAATAAATATTTAAGAAAGGCAAATAATTGTATGTCTACACAGAGACTGAATCCATTCAGATCTTACCCCCGGAAACTTATGACACTATTTCTTATGATCGCCATGATGAGCTGCAGGACAATTAGCTAAGAGGAGAAGTCATATCTCACGCCAGGAATTTTTTTCTTTCTTTTTTGTTCTCAGTCTCTTCTCACCTAAAACACCTTGGCAACTCTGCATGCTGTAAACCTGGCACCTAGCAGTCGCTGTCAGTGATTCATCGTGTTTTGCTATTGCCAAGGTCAGAGCGGAGTGCAGTACATGGGTATCATGGAGTGTGAGTTGACTGTATTTAAATGACGCAGCAGACATTTTCCAGGTAGCTGGTGGCAGACAGGACGACATCCATTCCAGGACAGTGAAAGTTATACGCAAGAACTGGATTTAATCCTTGAACCCACAGGCTGGGTGCTTTTTATGACACTGCTAGCAGAAGATAATATTGCATTATGAATTAGGTCCAGTCTCATAACCATTATAAGGAAAGATTTATGTGTTTTACCAATGTTCATCTAGCAGATGCAGTTGAATAATGTGTTTTTGTCGGTCTATTCATCTCACTACGAGAATTTCACTGTATTGATTTTATGGGATTAATTCGCAGTCACTGCAGTTCAGCCTTTGAATGAAGCATAGTTTTCTTTGAATTAAGTTCATTTAAATTATTATATGATTATTATAACAATTGGGAAATAAGAAAAGAGAGCGTACCATATAAGCAAGAAGCTCGAAAGATAATGATCATGAATAAATAAAACCATCTAACCAGGTCAGGAAAACACATCTACATATATGACTGCAGACTTACAAAGTTTTCAAATAGTTCTAGTGAGAAAAGAATCATCAGTGTTTGGATGTGGCGATTTACACCACAAACCATGTTTACATGGATTTTAAACACTTTTTTTACAGACATCCTTGTTTCATAACTGTTTCATATTAAATATGTTATATTATTTTGTTATTTCACATAGTTGAAACCCTTTAAAAATAACTGCAAACCATTCTTCAGTTTGTTTTATATCATAAATGCTTTAATTCAATTAAAAACCGTATAAAACATATTGCACATATTAAATCAATTGCACTTCCTGTTACAGATACACGTCTCTCTTTGCTACAGTACAAGTATTACAGAACCCTTCATGTACAATTGTATTGGTGTGTAGAGTGAAGGAACAGCCAAAAGCATAGGATTAGTGTGAAAACTGAGTTACTGACCCATTACCCAGCAGGGCTCTTTACGGAGTTTCTCAAAATCAAAAAAATATAAAACCAAAAATGAAAAAATCCATGAACCTCTGAAGTTCTGAAGATGTTTCATGTTAAAACATGAGCAGTCTTTGCTCTTTTGGTAGCCCTGTTAGATTTTCCACAGCATATACCCTCAGTGGCCACTTTATTAGGTACATCCAACTATTTCTGGCTAGGACCCACTTTTGCCTCCAGAACCACTACAAGAGTAGATGAGTTTTATGTTCAGAGAAGCCACTCTGCACAGTACTCGTGGCTTTTCTGTTAGCTTTAACAAGTCTGGCCGTTCTGCTCTGATCTCTCTCACAAACAAGGTTGTTTTCAGCCACAGAAATGCCGGTGACAGGAGGCTTTTGCTTCACCAGGCCACTCTCTGTAATCCCCAGACACTGTAGGGTGTAAAAATCCCAGGAAGGTGGCAGTTTCTGAGAACCTAGAACCATAACTGAACCTCTTGACCCTGTCTGCTTCCTGTATGTATTCAGTCACAGTCATATGACTGGCTGTTTGCATTAACATGCAGGTGTACCTAATAAAATGGCCACTGGACATAGAATTTCTGGCTGGAAGTATTTATTGTAAAAAAATATTTAATCAGAGTAGCTGAGTGTAAAAATAAATGACTGCATCAAATGGTTGTTTGTTATCTAACCATAAAAAGAGATTAAAATCAGATTAATCATGTCACCTGTTTGGTACTGTAACAGGAATATCACTATCGTTAATCTTACTTTAAGATTGATGTACTTAAATGCGAAACCAGTTGAATTTAACAATAAACGATGCATCATGGCCCTTCCACTATGATGCTATAAAAATCTTTTGAGGGTCTTTCTCAGATTACATCATTTAGTAATACAATAACAGCTGATTCAAATTTGATTTGTCTGGACAGTGAGAGAAAATGACAACAGATCACCAGTATATGTGACAAGCTGACCAAAGCAATAGGCATCAGTTCAGTGCATTTTCCTGTTAGAGGTAAATGGGTCGGCTTGTCATTTGACAGAAAGTTTCATTGATTATTTAAAAACAAGAAGTGTCATAATAAAGCTTAAATATTTGTTTTAAACTTGTTTGCAAATTCCAGTTAAATTCAAGAGGTCGTAAACCTTAATAAAATACAGTTCACAAATCTTTTTTTTATTACCAGAGTCTAATAAAGCAAAAAAAAAAAATTAAGTTTGACGTTTGCTAACATATTCCTATTTTATATACTTTTATTGTTCAGAAAATACACTGAGATGCCTAACCTAAGTATTATATAAAAATAGTCGCAATTTTTTCTTATTTTTTTCAGTGAATGACTGCAAATTCAAGGTATGTGAAGATTTTTATTCTTCAAAGTATGAATGACATTTTCACTGTGGGCTTCTTTTGGTTTGTTTCTGTCCATGAAGCCACCAGAAATGTAGTTTGTCCTCAGAGAAAATTGGGGAAAAAATCCCAGAAACAACAGTTTCCAGAAAAACAGTTTGCCAGAGAAAAACATCTCTCTCTCTCTCTCTCTCTCTCTCTCTCAGTGTGTTAACGCATGTGAACATATGTATCTGCATGTCTTGTGCACACTGCATTCCCTTATGGAAACATCCGTCCATTTGACCTCCGTAGAAGGTAAGTTGTGCTTCGCCGTGATGTTTTCATGTGCTGTTGGGGAGGTTTTGAACAAAAACCAAGGCTTTGCCTGAAAAGTCTGTGGTTCCCTCGTGCTTAGCGTACTGCCCATGTGTAGATGAACCCAGGATAATGAAATGCAAAACAATGGCAGCAAACTCGTAAATAAATCATGACCACCGTGACATTTTTCAAAAACAACAAAAAAATTCACTCTGAAAGACTTCTGTCTGAAATGAATAAATAAATAGATGGATGAACGTTAATCCAATTTGGTTCTCACCTTGCCGATCTGCAAATAAGTTGTGCATGGTGAAATTTCACGCCATGCTTCTGCAAATTAATCACAAGTGCGAATCCATTTTTTTTTAGGTGAATGCGATAAAAATAGAAGACTCCGTGAGTTCTTCACTTGTTTTTAAGCAAAGATAAACAACGTTTTTTCTAGTTCAGCACTGTTTGGTGTCAATATCCAGGGTAAGAAGGGACAACTGATATCCTTTCTTTGAGTAAAAAAATAAAATTTTAAAACCGACTGGGCTTGTTTATTTCAGAACCAAAACTGCAGACGGAACAATCAAGAAAGCAGGCTTTCAAAGGAACCAGAGTTTCCAGCGGGCATGCTTCTTGGACTCTGTTTTAGACTTGCGTTTGGGCGTGGAGGTGAAGGCTTCGTGGGAGTAAGGCAGAGATGGGAGCTGTGTGTCGTCCATTGGACAGAGCCTCTTCATCAGAGGCTGCAGCTTGTCCTCCTGTTGCTTGAAGTCCAGCTCGACGCTGCAACGACAATGGGCACGTTCAGTGAAATGCGCGAGACGGCGACCCGGCAACGATCCCCTCCGGCCTGCGTGTGCGGTTTGTCACGAGATACAACCCAGAGGCTTCTCCTTTTCCATCTTCTGCAACCCATATCTTATATTTTAAGGTTGAGTGCTGTGCTCACAGAGCCAAGTAATTAAATTGGGAAGTAGATTAATATTTAAACTCGATTTATGACTCCATGGAAAGAAAACGTAACATTCTCAGCAGTGGAGATATCTGTCACGATATGTAAACTTACTCCATGGACTATCAGTAAAATTAGGCTTATGTCATACATCTGGAGGCAAAGCAAAATTGCTATATTGCAGATTTTATTCAACCAGTCATTCCCTTATTATTATGAAAAAAACACCTTACCAGACAACTTTTTATGGGACTGTATGGGAGTTTTATTACAAAGAAACAGAAAACTTAACAGCAATTAATGCATCGGTCTGCTGTAAACAACCATCATCCAAACAGCATGAAGCGTTTCTGCTTGCTTGCACAATTAAATTCTCCAGAATGTTTTTCTTCACAATTACTTGAATAAATTATCTGGTCGGGAAATCTTTGATTTCATCACATTTGGTGCCGGTTCAGTACCTTGTGCTGCAGCTGTTGCCTTGGGAACGTTCAATCAAAATGACTCGATTCAGGTCTTACAAGGAAACATCAAATAAATGTGTGCGATTCCAAGATACGATTAATCTGGCCTGGGGTGTTGAATTTAATTTAAGTGGCACATGAGCCAGTAGAATGCCCGCCAAATCATCCACGTTCAAGTGCAGTTTGCTTGGGATGGTATGTGGTGCTGGGGGTTGCAACTTTATGTCTCTGATCGGGAGGTTGCTGGTTCAAATCCCTGGGCTGCAAGAGTGATGTCCCCATTGGGACCTTGCGGAGTACCTGTAACCCCAATTGCTACTGGTATTGGGTCAGTAATAACTGACTGCTTTCTCAATTGTACTTTGTTTTGGATAGAAGTACTTGCTGAACAAACGATGGGATTACAGGGAGAACCTCTTCTAGTTTTTAATTATATATCATCAAATGCTAGTATACTAGTAATGAACTATTTTACCTTGCTGACAGAGAAGCCATAAGAATCTGTGATCCCAGAGTAAGTCATCTGCTTGGTGCATCCTTTGAAAGCACTCTAACCTTGCGCTTCATTAAAATCTCTGCTCTCCTTGGTGAGCTCTAGGTTGTGCATGGATGTACGGGAAAATACATCTACGCCGTCCTGCATATCTGTCATAGTCCCTCCATAACAATTCATCTAGCTGATTCTTGCCTAGTGCAGTGTTAAACACAGAGTAACAGAGTCACTGCCAAGAATTAATCTCTTGAAGAAACCAGGAAGTGCTGGTCAATAGCTAAATAAATTAATTAAATTAGAATAATGCTCAAAAGTTTAATTCACAGCATTTACATGATAAACAGGGTTTAGTGTTGGTCATCATATGGAGTTGGATTAATTATTTTATTGCATCCCCCCACAATTTTTTAAAATCATGATTATACTAATATGTAGTGCAGTAAAAGAAATTTCTTTCATTAGCACCAAATCAGTGCAGATATTCATTAGATAAATGTGGCCCTTTCACTGAAGTGTGGAAATTATAGTGAGCCATTTCTGTTCTTTCTTTGTTATTTTGTAACCATTATGCCTTTGTTTAATTGCATATTGTGGTGGTGTTGTAATTCAATTAAGATTGAAACTTTACAATATTACTTTAACTTTGCCGACTACTTCAAAGCTGTAGCCTTGAAAAGCATATTTGCCAGCCAAGACCCGTCTTTAACCTGGGAAACATGTTCTGTCAGCTAAATGGAACACAACCTGTTTAAAATTCACACCCACTCTCACTTTGTGTTATTTCAGAAGTAGACTATTGGGCAAAATGACCAAATGCATTTTACGTATCACTCCCTTGGGGGAAAGCAGCCATATCTCAAATGAACTCTATACAGACCCGAGGGCCAGACACAGAAATTGCACTGCGGAAGTTCACCGATTCTCTTAATTCGTAGATGAGGATAAAATGGGCTTTTTGTCTCTAAAATATTTTGAAACAGCACTTCAAGATTTTTTTGCAGAGTATAGGAATTCAGAGGTTGGACTTCCCTGAAGTAAGCTGCGAGATGAGGGCATTAATTAACAATTTGTTATTTTGTTATTCTTAATCTCTCCAAGCTGTTCATCTGTATGGAAAATTATGTATGGAATTATTCAATTACATGGATTCCACCTTGGTTGATCTTCAAGAGCTGTATAAATAATGATAATGCAAAACAAGTAAACATGAAACAGATGCTCAGCACTGAGGTCTTTGCAAAAAGGCCTGTCAGAATGAGCAGGTAGTTATTAAGGTATTAATCTTTTGGGCTGTGGCATGTAATTAAGTTGTTAGTGACTGAGTGTGTTAAAGAAAATGTCAATATTCATGCATCTTTGGGCAGGTGCAACACAGGGACAATGGGGAAGATGTGCATACTGCTCATGTAGAAAATGTACATATTTTCCAAATGTGAGTAGCTTTAATGCTAAATATCATGGCGCGATGGACGATGCGAGCTCCATAAACAAGGAACAGAGAGAGATTCAAACCTACAACCCCAGTGGTCAAGAACTAGCAGCCCACTGAGCCACTGCGGGCCTACATCTGCAAAGGAAATTTGTTTGTTAATTTATTTTTGTTTACCAGCTGAAGCTACGACTGGTCTGCTTTGTTCTGCTTTATACTCTACACTCTGACATCTAACGTAGCGTTCAATGAATGCGGCAAATGCATTGCCTCCTTTGCAGCATCACATAATGCGATCGATGCATTACAGCAAACACCGCTGGCTGCGTCATGGTCCCATGCATAACAGCGGTGACATGCCTTGCTGGAAATCTGTTATGACTGACAGCAGGAAATTACTATATTTATGTTGCACACTGGATAGTCTGTGTTGGTATTATGTATAATTGACCTCAGGTACAGCTCAATTATATGCTCGAATGGTTTGCAGTGAGTTATACTGCACACACACACACAGACATACACATGCATATACAAACACATATATACACAAACATGAGTGTCCGTGTGCAGTGTACACACACACACACACACACACACACAAGTAAGTCAATACTCTTCTCTGAAAATTAGTAAAAACGTAATTTGTCTACTTTGAATTCAAGCCCTGAACTCTCCATTTTATACACTCTGCACATGCCCACGACTCTTCAACGCTAACAAAACATTCAGTTCAGTGTATGCACCATTGCCAAATGCTGCATTTCCATATATAAAGATTAACTTTCATTTCTACTTCAGTTGTAAAGGCAAAGCTGATGCCTGTTTAAAAGAACAGTGACTTCTGAAGAGAAGCTTGGTTGCTTATATCCCAGATGGGGTGATTGCGTTCATGCCCTTCAGCAATATGTTAAACTTTCATTGCTCAAAGGTATAAACTGCAATTTATAATTTCAAAACTATGATCTAGTTTAGAAAAAGACACTGGGCATCAGAGAACGAAGCATGTACTGTATATTTTATGGCAGATTAAACATAAGACGTTGTTTTCACTACCAAAGATGGGCTCCTAGATATATTTGCCATCAAAAAAAAAATCTCTGGGACTGCAGCCAGCTCTAGAAATTGATCTGCGTAGAACTGACTGGAAGCAAATACAGTGATCAGTAATCTGTGCACTCAGCTCATAGTAATTAGTCCACTCATTCTTAATCATTATAACTAATTCTTTCTGCCCTGTATTGGATTACCTGCTCCCATAAGATGCCAAGCATCTTTCAATATGTCTGGGTTATTGGTTAGAGGGAGAGAAAGTCAGAATTCCCCATTCATTATTGCAAATGTGCTGCTTTATTTAACTGCCCCAACAAAGCTGTTTCAATATTGAAGATTAATGAAGAGTTTGGCTTCACTGTTTAATGAGATTTATATGTTATCTGACAGACATAAGCAAGCAGAATAAAGCTATGGCTACTGCTGGGAGATGCTACAAGACGCAAGGAGGATTTGACTATTTACCTTTTTGGATATTAAAGTTGTCTATGGATAATATGTGTGTATCCATTCTCTGATATGGTCCGAATGCTGGAGGAAATGTAATTTTAGTAAGAGAATAGGTTTTGGGATGTATACGGCTTAATGCTTTTTTGCTGGCTTCTCAAACTGTAGTGCATCAAAGCCTACATCATTACCCTGTTTTTATGCTGTGCTAGCTCTGTTCATTTTAGTTATATCTGTCTTCCTCCTTTTAGTGTTTTAATGGCACGCAGTGTCCTCCACTAAGAAACTGCTTGTTTCCTAAACACTCTACCTAAGATAATATGTATATTTTAACATGTAGGAAAAAGGAATTTTAAAAATTGAAGTAACACGTTGGTGTAAAGTGTTTCGACTGGTAAGTGTAGTAGCCAGATAATCTCAACCCGCATCATGGAATGCTTTCAGGGAACTGTTCCGGAAAGAGTTCAACTGAGGATGGGCTGTCATCATGGCTTAAAGCAATCATGTGTACATATGAGCTGAAATGTGGCCTAAAAATGCATTTTGGTGATTTATTTATTATTTTACATTTTTTGTGTGTTTTGTGTTCATTTACATTTCTGGATATCACATATACTGTATCTAAGAGATCCGAGAAAATTGAAAACCAGCTAATAACTAAAAACCACTCATTTTACTGACATTTTTAAAGGACTGATAGAATGTTCATTAAACTGTATAATTAAAATTGTTCTGGATACTCTGGACACACATTTTTTTTCTGTAATTTCAGTATGTTTTGTGTGTGTGTATGTGTGTGTGAGCGGGTTTACCTATCCTTATGGGGACATAATGTCCCCATAACATGATAAATATCCGTTTTTTTCCCTTATGGGGACCTGTTTCCTGGTCTATTTATAAAACTCAATTTTATAAAAATCGGTGACTGCTATGAAAAAACTAAAA